CGGTGGCAAGGGCGGGGCAGGGGCGGCAAAGCCAGTGCGGTTTGTGCGCTGCCAAAGGGTTGCTGGGTGGGATGGCGGCTGGTTGGCCAAAGGGGATGATGATTCGGGCTTGGCGAAGGCCGAGGTTGTGGCGGGTTGGGCAAAAGCAGAAGTTGCTGGAGGCTGCCCAAAGGGATTGGCTGGCGCAGCGGGTGTCGCAGCGGCGCCGAACGGATTGGCTGCTGGCTGCTGCTGCTGTTGGGCCTGGGCCTGGGCCTGGGCAAAGGGGTTCGCGGGGATGGTGGCTGCTTGGCCGAACGGGTTGTTGGCGGGTTGTGTGGTCGCTGGTTGTCCGAATGGTGTAGGGGCCGTTTGAGCTTGTGACGCCGGCTGGCCAAAGGGGTTATTGGCGGGCGGCGCGCCGCCAAAGGCACCCGGGGCTGTTGCTGGTGTACCAAATGGAGCTGGTCGCTGATTGAGTGCTGCTGTTTGCCCAAACGCCGACTGTCCAAATGCTGGGCCCGCCGCGGGCTGTGCTGCCGCAGCAAACGCATCCGGCTTCGCGCCGAGGACGCCGGTTTGACCGAAGGTACCCCCTGGTTGTGCGGGTTGGCCAAACGCTGGCCCACCGCCCAGCGCTGCTGGCTGGCCAAAGGCTGATGATTGCGCTGGCTGAGCAAAGGCGGGTGCAGCGGCACCAAATGGGTTGGGCTTCTGACCCAGCGCCGCAGGTTGCCCAAACCCACCGACAGTGATTGTGGGAGCAGATTGTGCGCCAAACGGATTCGCAGCAGGCTTCTGGAAGGCGTTCGCAGGGCTTCCAAAAGCACCGCTGGGGGCGGCAGTTTGTGTTTCACCTTTGCAAACATCTATCCGATTTGGATGTTTGTTGCCGCCATCGACGATGAACTGTACTGCGGCCGGGAGGTTGTTAAGAGTGTGCTGAATCTGTTGTTGGGCGCTCTGGTAGAGGTTCTGGATATCGTTGAGCGCTCCCTGGGGATTTCCTGCCATGGCGCCCATCATGAAGTGCAAGCGTATTTCCTCAAAACTTTGCTCGCGCGGATAGCCACCCCAAAGCTGTTCTGGCGCATCCCGTCCGGGGCCGTAGCACGAGAGCAGCCATTGTGGGGGTTCGTTCCGCAAGTCTCTTTCGATAATTTCGGCAGTCAGGCCGGCGTATGGAGGTGAGTCTGTGTGGTGACTAATTAATAGAAGTTGCCGCCAGCCCAAGAGACGACGTACCGGAAACTCGCCCTCCCATCCCCTGGTTCCCCTGATTGCCCTGGTAGCCCTGGCCGGCGAGGGCGCCAAAGCGATTGCCGTACTGCTGTTGTTGCCCGCCTTTTGGGGGGTGTTCGAATTTGCAATTCGCTAAAGGTTAGGGCCGCATCAGTAAGCTAGCGTCTCGCTCTAATGTGCCGGCATAAAAAGGAATCTCGTGGGCGTATCGTGCGGTGATAGGTAGACTCGAGCATTCGATGGCGCTTGGAGTCGCAACTCGAGAGAAGGACAGGAACAAGAGTAAGGCAGCCTTCGTACCTCCATATCGGCAGTTACCCTGCTGGTAGAACCGGCAAATGGTCATTTTGGCGGTTTTGTATCGGGGAATACTATTGTAATGACCTTACACTTTTGTGCATGATGTCGATGTCTCGTTTGATGGTGGGAAGCGACAGACGCGGTCGAGTCGCGAATTCTTGGCTTCAGCCTTCAGCGTCAGCCTTGCACAGACACCCCACACCCACGGGCAGCCAAACGCACGAGCCACATGAATTGAGCGCAACGGCCAAGATGTGGCTTTAATGACCCACTTGCCGAACAAAGCCCAGACCGACGTCGACAACGCCGTGGCATGCCGAAGCTGGGCACGGGATCTTGCACCTGCCACCTTCATGCTGCATGCTGCTATTTCTCCTTTCGACATTTGGGATCTTGGGGTCTCACATAAGCCTCCAGCGTAGTCACCAACAGTCTAGCATAGCCAAAATAAAGGATGAAAGAGATGACCATCACCCATGGTGACGTCCCTCATGGCAGATTCGCAGGGAAGAAACAGCGCTGGTTGGCATCCCCCTTGATTGTCGAAGGGTGTCTTGTGAGGCTCGCAAGAAATTCTCAAACACAATAACCATCCCGGACTGACCCCGGATTCTCGCCGATCTGGGGTCCATGGCCCATGATCCCTCCACTTTATGGGGTCTGGGGAACCTGGGCCAGGCAATGAAGATGCAGAGCCGCCCGTCACCGAGCCGAATGCCGCTTCCGCGCACATTCCGCACCGAGATCTGCCAAGGGAACAGTGTTCGTAAAGTCGATTGGCGAGTGGGAGATCCGAGAAGTCCGGGAAATGGGAGAAAGTCCCCAAACGGGAGCCATCGACATCATCGCGTGGCGGCTGACCATACGCGATAAGCTAATACCGGGCTGTGCTCTCGCCTTTGTGCCGCCAGTATCCGAGCACCCGCGCATCGTGGACACGAAAGGTACGAAGCAGGAGGCATCGAGACCAAGGCAATTGCCGTGTTGGATTGGCAATTGGCTCACATGAGTGGTTGCTGGGAAGAGGAGTCGTCGTCTGGCCAGAATGGAGAGTTTGATCCCGTTGCGTAATCTTGACATTCTTAAAGGATGGCCCTCCCCAATCTCGACCACATCCTGCCTTGAGCACCGTTGTCGTCTCTGGCTGTGAGAACCACGTCTGAATTCACAATGGCCTTCTCCGCAGAACATCTCCAGCTGTGGCTGGCATTATTTGTCGGCGGTGGTATACTCTATGTAAGCGGTCCTCGACTCTTTGTCATCTGAACCTCCCCGTTGACTGACTCGTCCAGACAACATGCCTCGTCGTCTACCGCATCTTCTTCCACCCCCTGGCCAAGTACCCCGGCCCTCTCCTCGCCAAGCTCACCGACGCCTACATGCTCTACTTCGCCTGGAAGGGCGACCGTCACCTCGAGTTCTGGCGCATGCACGAGAAGTACGGCAAGTTTGTGCGCTTCGGCCCCAACTCGCTGTCCATCAACTCCAACACAGCCCTGAAGGAGATCTACGGCTTCAAGGCCAACGTGCGCAAGGCCGAGTTCTACGACGCCTTTGTGCACCCGGCCCCCAACACCCACAACTCGCGCGACAAGGACCTGCACGCCCGCAAGCGCCGGGTTCTCTCGCACGCCTTCTCTGACGGCGCCATCAAGGAGGTCGAGCGTTACATCCTGGCCAACATTCGCACCTTTTGCGAGGCTATCGGCGATTATGGCCGCCAGATCCAGGACACGAAGGGCTGGAGCTCGCCCAAGAACATGGCTGACTGGTTCAACTACCTCGCCATGGACATCCTGGGTGATCTGTGTTTCGGCAAGGCCTTCCACATGCTGGACCGGCCCGACAACAGGTACACCGTCGACCTGGTCGGTGTTGCTGCGAAACGCCATCTCCTGGTAAGCAACCTGTAGCGGAGTGAATGGAAAACTCGGGACTGACAAAAGCAGTGCGGCACCATGCCCATCGTCAACAAGCTCAATCTTGACAAGATCCTCTTCCGCAACGTCGCCGCCGGCCGGGCCAAGTACATGGCCTACAGTCGCCAGCAACTGGCCGAGCGCACCGCCCTTGGCGATGAGACCGACCGCCGCGATTTCTTCTACTATCTTCTTAAGGCGCGTGACCCCGAAACCGGCCAGGGCTTCGCCACCCCCGAGCTCTGGGCCGAGTCCAACCTCCTGTAAGCTCCCTCCCCATTAAAACCCCCTCCTCTCTCTCTAACAAACCCCAGCATCATTGCCGGCTCAGACACCACCTCCACCGCCATGGCCGCCACCCTTTTCTACCTTGTCCGCCACCCCGCCGCCCTCGCCAAAGCCACCGCCGAAATCCGCAGCAAATTCGCCTCTCTCGAAGACATCCACCAAGGCCCTATCCTCAACACCTGCACCTACCTGCGCGCCTGCATCGACGAAGCCATGCGCCTCTCGCCCTCCGTCGGCGGCCTCCTCCCGCGCGAGGTCCTCCCCGGCGGCATGACCGTCGACGGCGAGCGCGTGCCAGAGGGAACCGTCATCGGCACCCCGCACTACACCATCCACCACAACCCAGACTACTACCCGGATCCCTTCGCGTACAAGCCCGAGCGGTGGGTGGTCGCGGACATGGAGAAGAATGGTGGGGAGGGCGTGGGCGAGAGGGATGTGCAGGTGGCGCAGAGCGCGTTTTGCCCGTTTTCGATTGGGCCTCGCGGGTGTATTGGGAAGGGGTTGGCATATGTTGAAATGAGTATTACCATTGCGAGGGTGCTGTTTATGTATGATGTGAGGAGGGCCGCGGGGGTGGTGGATCCCGGTGAGGGACGCCAGGGGCGGAGTTGGGGAGGAAAAGGTCGGGGAGTTTCAAATGGTGGATATCTTTACGAGTTTGAAGAATGGGCCGATGGTGGAGTTTAGGAGGAGGGAGTTGTAAATACATAGTAGTGGTGTGGTGTTTCAGTTGAGGAGTCGACGTGAAGATGAGCATTACGGATGACAAAAGGGAGGAAGGTCAAGGGGTGGGAGAGTGGGCGGGCTGGACTTTCGGTTGGTTTCCTAGCACATATTTAGCGAAGGGCTGAAGCCTAAAATGAATGACATGTTCCATGATATTGCTGAGTCGTTTGGCTCGGTCCATTGGGGGAGAGTGATCGATCTCGGCCCCAGTTCGTTCTGGATCGGGGAAGACGTTAAGCAAATCAAACCACTCCTCGTGGAGAGATGCACCGAATGGGAAAGTTGACTTCGACATAGAATCGGGGTTGGCAATTGAACAAGAGTTGGTCAAGAAGAACAACAGAACAACATAAAAAAAGGGGGGGACGCCGTCAAAGTGTGGCACAGACGTCGAACTGCCGGCGATGCATCCAGACGCCGCGACAAGTGCCAGCGGAAAAGATAGGAATCTCACACTTCCGATCCGATGAACTTGCCAAGCAAGAAAAAAGTTCAAGTGGCTTCCACGTCGTGGATCTGGCAAAAGTTAAGAAAGATATCAAGTGCCCCCACGCGGGATTGAACCGCGGACCTCATCATGTCGCAAAGTGGGTACGAGTGATGCGCTCTACCACTGAGCTATACGGGCTTTGATTAATAAATTTATGAAATATTCCCTTTACATAGTAAGCTGTGTCCTTTTGTTTCCATTGCAAGTTTCTCCTGGAATTAAAGGCAAAGGAATTTAGACTCGAAGGGTACAACATAACTACACTACTACTGTAAATGATTTAGTGTCTGAACTAGTATCTTTACAAACTGAGTTTCTAAGTCAAAGCACCCACATCTGGGACACCCCCACTTCTGGGACACTTTCCCCACATCATGACCACAGCCACCACACAACAAGATGATGCTTCATTTTCGACATTGTGATGCAACTACAATACAGTCGCCTGCTTCAGAGGGGTTATCTAACCCCTCGGATTCAACCCTGATATCCTCCACCTCTCCCGCGTCGATTTGAGCCCTGCGAATGGCCTCAATGCCCGCAAATTTGGAGTTCGGGCTGGTCCGAACCTTCCTCTTCTTCCTGGGCCGAACTGCATCAATCTGGGCTCGCAAAGCCTCGTTTTCTCTCTGGAGGAGGGCCAGACTAAAGTCCTTTTCGTCAAATGCCTTTGTGACCTTGGTAAACAGGGTGCGTTGAGTCCTCGAGGCTTGCACTTGCCGACCCAATTCGGTAAGCTGGTTACGCAGGTCTCTAGCCTTAGTCGGGGTGGTCCAGGGCACTAGGATTTGAGAAGGTTTAGGCCCAGGCGTTGCAGGAGGCTTTAGAAGACCTGATGAAGCTATTGTTCTGGGTGTGAATGTCGATTTGTTGGCGTTTTCTGTAACAGGCCACGCGTTGGCTTGGATGAATGCACAAGACGTGGGAGGAATGACTTGATTGCTTCGAATGAAGAAGAAAGGAGAGAACGCTAAGACAGGAGACGCGAGGACAGCCTTTTGTCATGCAGCTGTCACGTGCGCCCGCACGTGCACAGGCCGAGGGTCACCGAGGCCACAACGGGGCCTAGCCCGTCACATTTTCGACCAGCAACCGGCTCATCAGGGGTTTGGTGATAGATACCGGCCACATCCCAGCTGCCTTCCACCCACTCCTGATGTTCTGACCCGTCAAAGCTACCAACCGTGCCTTCTGGTAACAGCCGAGAAAATTTCGCTTGCCCACGATGGTTGAGTCGGTCCATATGGTCAGGGAACCGAGGTGCTTACGATAGGAGGTCTTCAAAGGCGAAAAGACTGATAGATCTAACGGTTGGAGCACGTGGGAGCAGTGTGGTGGCAAGTAACAGGCGAAGATGTTGTTGGAGAAGCAAAGCCACATAAAATCGTCGCTTTCGTGGCTTCGGTGGCCATCCATGACCAACAAACGAGCTTCCTTAGGGTCATCAGGGCGGGTAGAGGGGACGAAGATCTTCTCGAGCCATTCGACGGCTGTTTCGTCACTTGTCCACCCGTTTTCAGTCGCTGTAAACTGCCAGCCATCGTATAGCTTCAAATCTAGTGGAAACCACTGCTGTTGAACACTCTTACCCTTGAAGATGACGATGGGATGGAGGTGTTGGCCGGTGGCCGAGATACATTCGACGAACGAGGTCCAAACCCGCGAACCTGGGTCTTTCTTGATGATTGACTGCTTCTCACTACTCCCAACCACCAAGCCGTTAACTCCCATGCCCTCCATAATCCCAGCTTCATCCATATTGTAGCGGTTGGCCGGGTTGATGGCTTTGATGGCTGGGATCGCAAGCTTGGGGGAACCACCCACGAAGAACTTCAGTTGTGGCGCCATTGACGCGCTGGCTTTCCATCCCACGGCTTCGTTTGGTCTTCAGAACTGGATAACGGTCGATGAAACGGTTGATCCAGCGCTTGCCAATGGTTGTGGTCTCGCCGCGGGCGTGGAGGATTCGTTGGGCAAGCTCCTTGATCTGGGCATGGGTTGGAGGGTTACCCAGGGCCTCCTGGGTAAGAACCCACTCGGCTAGTCGGTCCTCCTGTGTCTTGGAGAGCTTCTGTAAGCCCTCAAAAGCGGCTGCACGGTCTTGAACGCCCTGCTTGCGGTTGGATAGTGTGCTCTTGGGGATGCCCCATTCCTGGGCCACTTTGCGGATGCTGCGGCCCTTTTTGAGGGCCAGGAGGGCCTGGGAGAGCTCTTCCTCTGAGTAAGTAGGAATTTGCGACCCTGATGATGATAAAAATAATGAGGAAAGATTTGAAAAGGAAGCAATTGTTGGTGGTTGAGATTTGGGCAATTGAAGGTTGGGTTGGGTTGGGCATTACTGCAGGTCAAGACTGTCCCAGAAGTGGGGGGTGTCCCAGATGTGGGTGCTTTGACTTATGTTGAAGTAGTAGTGCAGGAGAGGTGATAATTGGAAAATGGATTGAAGTGGTGAATGCTGATGTCTTGCAAATGCCCTTTGGGTTTTAGACTCAATTTGAAAACTGAAACTGAGAAGAGTGCTTCTTTATACTTGATACTGCTTGCCTATTTTCCTCTTGAGGTCCATGACAGCTGAATTGATTGCACAAGGCTTAATAAGGGTAATTTCTAACTGGACGGAAAGTCAGCTAGGCCGCAAGTGGTTCATCCTGCCGATCTTATGTCGTGTCAATCACTGGAACAGTCTCCTACCATTGGACCTAGTGAGACAGGTGATTCCGACCCCAGACCCGACGCCAACCAAACACTGGGCGCTGGAAACTTGATGTTTGTTGCAAGTTAAGGTTAAGTCTTGCGGTGGTTTTTGTTCGAGTCTGCGGCACGCAAGCGAGAGGTGTAACATTGACAAGAGCGAGAGTGAGAAATAAACCATGAGAATAGGGTATAGCTCACTCGCCCCATGCATACCTGCCATCATTCGATGATTCAAGAGCACTTCACCAAATCCCATAACTATCCAAAATTGAAACTACGCAAGCTTAGCCCCAACCCCCTCTTTTTTCCCGCCCTAACCTCCTCAAAAACAGCACTCGCAATCGCCAACGCATCCCGTCCCGCCGGCACCCCGCAGTAGATCATGGCGTGTCTGCAGACCTCAACAATCTTCTCCTCCGATAGCCCGTTGTGCAGGGCGGCCCGAATGTGGATGCGCAGTTCGGGGGCGCGGTTCAGCGCAATGAGCATCCCGAGGTTGATTAGGGACCGCTCTTGAAACTGGAGCCCGGGCCGGGCATAGCTCGAGAAGCACACCTCAGCAATGTACTCGGACCCGACTTTGCTTGCGAGGTCGTCCCGCTGTGTGTGCAAAATAAACGCCTGTTAGATGTTGAGAGATTTCGAGTAAAGGGCGGGGTGTTGGAAGTTGAGCTGCACGTACCGAGCTTTCCTGAATTGAGCTCACTAGCTCTGGCCCTAGGAACTGCACGGCAAGTTGGGCGCCTTGCAGGAGCTTTGGGGAGGGTTCCGAATCCGACATGGTGGATTGAAGACAGTATAGGTCTTTCAGTCTGTAGGGTTGGGTGAGGACTTGTCGGTCTCGGTTCGGGTGTTTGCAAGCAGCTACCGTGACAAACAGCTATATGGCCAAAGTAAAGGTAAACACAGGTTTCCTTTTAATATTATTACCCCTGATGCCTTCCCCCAGCCAATCCTGAATATCACTTACCGATTAAACATCTAAAGCACGTGGACATGCCGAGCGCCGGATACCGAGCTATGGCTGCGATCGAGGGACTGCCGAGTGCCGGCTGCCGAGTACCGGCTGTTGGGTGCAGCGTGCTCTCCAGCTCTCAACATGTTGTGTTGGTTCAGTAAGAATCAAGAGAGACTGGATGCTGTCTAAGACGGTCTTTCAGTAGCTCTTGCCTTTTGTTCGTCGGTTTTTAAAACTCTTACCTCGGGTTCCCTCGCCTCACCTACAAACCTCCTCCTGCTCATCAACTCAAACATCTCTCCGACTCTGCCCTTTTCTTGTTTGCAGCTTCTCCCCCTTGACAATTTACGATGAGCCACAACCGCTTAGCTCAGCTCAAATCTCACCTGAGAATTCCATCTAACCCCCCCCCCCAATATGTTGTCCGAGAAGAACCCCTTGGCACCGCGAGACAGATTCGCATCATCACAATTGGTGCCGGGGCTAGCGGCTTAAACTTGATCCGTACGCTGAAGGAGCAACTCACCAACTACCAGCACATTATCTACGAGAAGAATCTCGAGGTCGGAGGCACCTGGTACGAGAATCGGTATCCCGGCTGCAAATGCGACATCCCGTCCCATAACTATCAATTTGCTTGGAAGCCCAACCCGGAATGGAGCGAGTTCTTTTCTTCAGCCGAGGAAATTCAGGAGTACCTTTGTGGTTTATGCACCGAAGATATGCGAAGGGAGATTAAGACGAAGCATGAAGTTGTGGCTGCTCGGTGGAACGAGGAATCTGGTATCTGGGAAGTCAAAGTGAAGAGCCTGGCAACTGGGACGGTGTTTGATGATTTCTGCCATTTCCTTCTCAATGCTGGTGGCATCCTCAAGTAAGCTAAGTTTGTTGACTCAATTTGGTAGTGGTATGTGAACAGAATGCTGATATGGGAACTACAGCAACTGGAAGTGGCCAACTATCCCTGGCCTTCATGACTTCACCGGCAACCTCATTCACAGCGCTGACTGGCCCCATAAGTACGATTGGAAGGGGCAAAGAGTTGCCGTCATTGGCAACGGGTCCTCGGGCGTACAGATTGTTCCAGCAATGCAGAAGGGTACGTATTTTGCTCACCTCCTTAATACGTCGTTGTGCGTCTGCTAAAATGGTTACCCCTGAGCAGATGCGAGACAGCTCGTCCACTTCTTCCGCGAGGCAACATGGATTGCTCCACCCCGTCTTGAGCTTCTGTCCCAAGGTGAGGCGGGTTCGATTCTCGACATGATCCAGTACGACGAAGAGGGGAGATTCAGCCCTGAACAAATTGCCAAATTCAAATCGGACCCCGAATTTTACCGCAAGTTTGTCAAGGCAGTTGAGAAGGAGACCAACAACAACTTCTACGTTGTAAGAGCTACCCTTTGTCTTCATATCCCGTAGTTGAGCATGACAAGCTTCTGCTTCTGAAACACTAAACTAATCACTGTTCTCAACTCATGGCAAC